GTATTTGTGTAGTTATTAATTAAACGTGTAATATGTGCCACAAATGTGTATCGGCCCGTTAGCTTCCTTATAACTCGTAAGTTAACCAACTTCTCCTATAAAAGGAGGCTAACTTACGGGAACCCTAACGATCAAGGCTTTAGAGACGCCGAGGCGAGATAGATAGAGAGTAGGGTTTTCCGCTGCTCTCCTTCTCCAGGGAGAGCAGCGACTGTTTATCACGGTATACCAGATTTGGTTTTCATCCGCTATCTTTCTATCTGCTTATTCTTTCACTGCGTAGATTGTTTGATTGTAAGTATACTGGGTTTATCAATTGGTATCAGAGCCGAGACATGAAACATGTTGAATCTATCTGCGATTGTTTAGATCTAACGAAGAAGTGCTCTGCTTTTCTTCTGTTTTTCTTTGATGTAGAGATTTGCTCCTGTAATCTTGTTTGTGAACGAAATTTTATAAAAATTATACTGTTGGAATCGTCTTTCAAAACCGATTCTACAACATATCTCTGTTTTTTATTTCTGCAATTTTTCAATCTCGAAGATCTCTGCATTAGGATCTTGAGTTTTCTGATTTTACATGGCTGCAAAAACGTTTTTGACTTGAAACTGATACAGGAGAATCTCGACCTTGAGGGCTATTCAGAATAGTTTCTAGATTTTCAAAAACTGAATTTTCATTTTGCATGATCTCGACATTTAGGGCCTCGAATTCCTCATCTCGAGTTTTGAAATCTCGAGTTTTAAATCTCGAGTTTTTGAAATCTCGAGTTTTGAAATTTCGAGTTTTGAAATTTCGAGTTTTGACATCTCGAGTTTTGGAATTTCGAGTTTTGGGATTTTGACTTTTGGGATCTCGATATTTAGGATCTCGACATTCTTAAGATTTCAAGATTTTCAAAATTTCTTGATGTTTTGAATTTCTCAAAGTTTGGAGTTTTTTGAATCACTGATTTCTTCTAAACTTGATATCTTTTTTGTTCAGAACACTTCGAAGCTTTACATTATAGGTTTTTTGGATGAATCTCTGTTTTTCAAAGTTTTTAGAAGTTTTCGATGTTCTGATGTTTTTCAAACAACAAGTTTTCGATTTTCTGAGCTTTTCGAAACTCCAAAGTTTTCGATGTTCCAAACATTTTGAAATTCTGAAGATTTCGAAGACTGTAGGTTTGTTTTGCAGGTGGATTTCATCATTATTCTTCGAGGCAAACTCGAGATTGTAATCTCGAGATTTAAAACTCGAGATTGCAATCTCGAGATTTAAACCTCGAGATTAGGATTTCGAGGTATTGCCTTAGAATTTTCCTTAATCCCACATGCTCTTGATATTCAACATCGAGAACCTCAACTTCGAAGAAATTCCTCAAAAACTCAAAATTAGATATTTTCTGCGACACCGCATTGTTTTGGCCATAACTTTTGACTCGGTGATCCGATTTGAGCAAACTTTTTTTGTTGGAAAGCTAACGAAAAAATCTACATTACTTCTTGGGTTATGCCCCATAACCCTTTCTCACGCGCCCTCACTCGCAGTCCTTGAGGATCAAAACGTTAGTTTTCCGACAAACTTTGTAAATCACCGATGTCCAGGTCAAAACTTAGGCAAATCTGATCAAATTCTTTCAAAGTCAAACCTAAGGTCTATGCTCCACTGTAAATGTCCGAAAATCGTAGATAATTCAATCAACCTCGCGTCAACGGTCATATTACAACAATCAACAATCAACTGCTGAAGCCTCCCCTAACTCATCAACATTGTGTGATCCTCAAACGTGCTGAAATTCCAAATGATGAGCTAAGGGATACCGTCATGTGTGGTACATGTTCAGATTGCTCCACACACATGGCGGGTACGATGACCCGTGAGCAATCAACCCTTGCACATTCTGAGGGAGAGTTTAAGTTTTCTCCTCCTGGCGCCTTACACCGACAAAGCAAGTAATCTCTCAACGGATGCAACATTTTAGGGGGAGTGTTCAATGTTATCCTCCCTGGTGCCTAACAATGACAAAGCATGCCGAGTGCTCCAGTTGAGGGGGAGTACAGAGAGAAAATGAAGAATGTAATGAGAGAACATGTCCCTATGGCTTAGTAAACCCAACTAAGCCTACCCAAGGGACAAAGCCGAGCATAAGTGAGTGAGTGAGCGAGTGAGTGAGTGAACATTATGAGCGTTTGGAAGGAGAAGGCTCAAGTGATCAAGATTACAATAATCAATGATGAGTCTGCTACCTCAACTGTTTGCTATGAATTGAACATTTATTTCTAGCCACTCAAATACTCTAGACAATCCCCATAGGTTCAGGACTGATTTAATCAGATCCCGGGTAGAAGTCATTGCATCTTGTCCAACAGTGCATGTTTAACCCTACCCAAGACCACTCATTTGTCTCCCAACAGACAGGTGTTTAATCACATTTCACGGGGAACCTCATCTCTCATTACTGTCTCCTTCTGAGGCAAATGTTACTAACTACAGTGGCCTCAGCCTCATGCCACTAAACTTTCATTGATCACGTCGTGTCTAGTTACTCACTCCCAAATGTTTTGAAATTTTCTAGGATACAGACGCACTTTTTGAGTCAGTTGCAGGTCTACAAGACCCGCGAGAACTTCCATACAGCTCATCTATTACAGATGTAGACCAATGATTGGAAGGAAGTCCTGCTGATGCAACATAAGAATCACCGTCATTTTCAGGCCATTGCTTTAGAGTTTATCTCTATAGTGATGATAACGGGTGTCTTCACGATCCCGGGGGGCTACATTATCTTCTTTACATTTTGCTTGTTTTCCCTGTTTTATTTCCGCAGAATAAAAGTATAAAGGCATGACGCCCCGATTCATCGGATCGTCATGAGGGGGAGAGCGGTCCACATGCTGTTAATTGTCAAACAAAATTATTCTGGGACACTTCTCTCCTCCAACGCTCTCTCTACTATCTCCGCAACTCAAATGGTCAGCTACGCTCACAAGTCAATCATCATTTTTCGCTGTGCAACCGACTTGTTCTCCTCAAAAACATTCATTCCAAATAGTCAAAAAGACTACATTGTGGAGGAGACAGAGGTCAAATACTCGTGTCCTAAAGATAAATTCCATGGGCGTCTCCTATTCTCCAAAAAATATTCATTCTAGAGGCGTCACCGGACTTCATCCAAGCTGATCAAGAGCAACTTCTGGAAGGCAAGGACTACATGCAAAATACTGAAGATCCCTAAACCCCCGACATCAAAGATCAAAATGCCTAGAAGACATCAAAGGGGAGATTGCAAGGACTTCTTCAGAAAGCCTTCCTCAGAAGTCATGTTCAGAGACAAAGGAAGCTGAATAACAACAAAGACAAAGATATCTGCGCTGCAATGCTGATTCAACACGATTGAACACCAAGGGGGAGATTGTTAGGAATATTTATGGTGTCCAATCTAATTAAATATCTTTGTATTTGTGTAGTTATTAATTAAACGTGTAATACGGGCCACAAATGTGTATCGGCCCGTTAGCTTCCTTATAACCCATAAGTTAGCCAACTTCTCCTATAAAAGGAGGCTAACTTACGGGAACCCTAACGATCAAGGCTTTAGAGACGCTGAGGCGAGATAGAGAGAGAGTAGGGTTTTCCGCTGCTCTCCTTCTCCAGGAAGAGCAATGGCTGTTTATCACGGTATACCGGATTTGGTTTTCATCTGCTATCTTTCTATCTGCTTATTCTTTTCGTAGATTGTTTGATTGTTAGTATACTGGGTTTGTCAATGACAATCAACTTTGATCAATGATATATTTTAACACAAATTTATTTTTGCCAATTTGAATTTTCGGGACGGAGGTAGTACTTCCTCAACCTAAATTTGACCAAAGTTACTTACACTTAAAATAGTAAAGTAAAATTATATGATTAAGATTTGTGCACAAGAGATAAATAACTTCAAATTGAAGTGATATTGTTTTACATCTAAATATGAAAAGAAAAGGTTGGTAAAATAACTGTACTTCACGATCGAGAGGTGTATACATTGAACTAATCGAGAGGAGTGGTTAACTGGAATACATAGATTAATTAGTATGTTTTGACCGATTTAAACTTAAACAGGTTTGATTCACATGTAGTCTGATAAAATTTACAAAATACATAGTAGTATATATATGTAATCCTAAAATTTTTCAGATCAAACTACTACACCATATAAACAAGGAGTCATTTTAAGATACATATATAAATGGAGATCTATCATTAAAAAAGCGGTAATTTTGACTTTGCACTCTACTTTTTGGTTTAAATTGGATTTTGCAACATATTTTCAAAAATCTTTAAGGGATCGGAAATGTAGTACAAAGTCAAAGATTTTTAAAAATGATCTGTAAAGTCTAATATCACCTGAATAGTGCGATGAAGTCAAAATTCGCCTTAAAAATGACCACTAACATATATGATAGATGACAATCCTTTACTAATCAAATACGAGTACTTCGTATTTACTTATTCCATTTATCGAGAAATGAGTGTGACGGTTTTTGAAGTTCCAAGTCAAACTTCTTTATGATTGACTATAACTTAATATAAATAATCTTACTTTTTATCCGATTTCTTGCAATAGTCTTATCTAATCGTAATTTAAAAAGTAGTCTTACCTTTCCACTTCGTGTTCTCTCGGGTCTTCGTTTTTAAATCATTTTTCATTTATTTATGATCATTAAATCATAAATCTAATCATTCACAAATCTTTTTAAAATAATCCCATATATCACTTTTCATTTTGAGCAAATTACAAACTATGTAATTAAATTAAAGTTTAATCCTAACAAAGTGAAATTTTTATCTACCATGTAGTTTTTGAAGTGAGAAATGGAATTTTTGAGCTTACATAAAAAAGAAAAAAATGGTTATACCCCTCCCAAATATAGCATGGGCGTCTAAAATTTAATATGTTCCAAACAAGCAAAAACGTCTAAAATTTAAAAATGGATGAAATACTATACCTTTTGCTCTTTGAGAACATAACAATTTTTTGGAAAATAACAGACTTGGTCATCTTTCTCATCTATGGGCGAGAAAATTTTCCATTAAAGAAAAGTTAGCAATGACCTCTCAACCCACATTACTACTTCCTCTATCCATTCCTTAGCATCTTCTTGATTTTCCGGCCAGCCCAGAAATGGCTGATAATCGGCCACCATTGTCGTCATCATCATCATCCAGAGGTAGAAGCTATGGAAGAGGAGCTTTCTTGGTTCCTTTCCTCTTGGCTTTTGCAACCTCAACTTTGATCGCCTTCCATATTGCTTTTACTTCCCAACTCCACTCCATAATAATCCATCCTAAACAAACGCGCCTCCGCGTAAAGTCCCCGGCCGGAGAGTTTTCCAAGGGCGGTGGGCGGCCTAGTATGAACTTTTCGTCTTCTTCGGCGGCTGTGTTGCCGGATTATTCTCCCCGTGTATCAACGCCGGCGAGTCAACGGTCATTGCCGGTTCAGGATTCTGGTCGGAGTTTAGGAGGGGTTTCCGCCAGCTCATCTGGTAATAAGAAACTAATAATACCCCGTATTATTGTTCAGAAATCGCTCGGAGCAAAAACGTTTTGAAATTTCAAAATAAGAGTATCATATGTTTTATTCTCTGAATATGAGTAATCTGCCAAGTTTGGAAAAAATGCATATTTTAAAGTCTAGTAATGTCAAACTTGGAAGAAATTTATTTCTATTCAAGGAATAAAAAACATGATACTCCTGTTTTAAAATTTTAAAACTTTTTTACTCCTATTTAGAGAATTCGCCCATTATTGTTCTACCAGCGGTCTTGTTTTTTACTACGCAACTTGTTTGTTAATTATACTTCCTTCTACGTACTCCTCTATCCCGAAAAATAAGTCCCGATTGTGATTGAGTAAGAATAAAGTAAATGATTGATAGTTATACAAACATTTCTAAAAAGTGACATGTGAATTTTTTTGGGATGTCCCAAAAAGGTAAGTGAAATTTTTTTAGAGACGGAGGGAGTATATATTTTCTATTTTGTTTTGTTTTTCAATGCAACTAAATATGTCACACTTTAATTTTAAAACGAATTATTTCTGAACTTTGTTCATATTTTATTATTGTTTGGACCGTTATCTTTATATTTTGGTACGTGTATATTTGGATAGACTAGTCTAAACTACGTAGTAGTTATTATCGTCCAACTTAGTTTATTTATATTTAATCTCTGCTTTTATTTAGACGTGGTCTAATCTAAGTCCAATATACTTTATTATAATTGTTTAATTCATGTTTGGTGTAGTCTTGTACAGTTGTACGTATGATGTGGTTCGATGTTGTTTAATTTGTTCGGGTCTAAGCTGGTCTAGTTTGATACGTGATACTCCCTCCGGTCCTTAATTAACTTTACACTTTTCATTTTGGGTCGTCTCATATTAAACTTTACACTTCCTTATTTGCCTTATTTGACAAACAAATCTATACCAAACAGTACAAAACAGTGTCAAACAGTGTACTCTATGGTAAAGTCAAATTTATTTCCTTAATATGTGTGAAGTCAAAGTGTAAACTTCATTAAGGACTGGAGGGAGTATTATAAATGTTTGGTTTCCCAAATATCCGATAAAAAAAGTGAGAATTCTTACAGAATAAATTTCTCCCCCCGTCCCTTTGGATTACACCAACTTTCCTTTTTTGGTTGTCCCAAAAAATTTTGTCAGTTTTCTATTAAAGCATCTACTTTGTGTTTCTGCGCATTTCTATTTTCTTTGCATAAATTCCAACTACACAGTTTTTATTAGTCTTATTTCTCATTTACTTTTCACTTGACAAAATCTACCGGGACGGAGGTAGTAAGAAATAAAAAATGTACGAGTACTAAACTAGAACATTCGATAGAGATGGAGTTCAATTCTTACATTCCTAATAAAATAATTTTGCCACTTGGGTGAGAACTCTAAACCTCGCCGCAGTTTGTGGATCATAGTCAAAATTGCCAAACAATAAACAAAGAAGCACGTCAAAGAATATTCATCTCAAATCCTACGACATCGTACTCTGTATTAATGGTACTCCGTATTATTTATTAGAAAAATGATGAACCCCATCGGGCTCTTAATATCGACCGAACAGTTAGATGAGATGATGTAAATTGCGCTATAATCAATACGATATATTAAATGAATAACAATACACGACAATATTGGGACATATTAGCTCTCCCGAAAAGATTTGCCATATCGGGACAAACTTTAGAACCATAAAATAACACCCTCAAGCAGTGACGGACCCAGAGATTTGTCAGAGTAGAGGCACACTAGTAGTGAAATTCTTGGCCGGAAGCGGGGACACTGATTTTACTCTAAGTACTAGTAGTGAAATTACTGGCCGAAAGTGGGGGCACTTGCCCCCTAGGTCCCTCCCTAGGTCCTAATTGTGGAGGGTGTTGATCATGCCTCTTCTTTCAAGAGTTACATGAATTTATAATACACAATTTGGGACAAGAAACCATGCCTGAATTGACATGTCATCATTATGTGATTTGTGAGACTAATCGTGAATTGAGTCGTGATCTTCATGATTTGTTGCTGGTCGCGTAGCTTCCTGAAAGTATCATCATGCATGTGCAATGGTGTAAGCGGTTGGGCACCACGTGTGTTGCGCGTGTCATATCTTGGTGAGAGTAGTATTTGTAGTTAGTTTAGACTAATTTAGATAGTTTTGATTCTTTTGCATTTATTTTTCTGAATATTTATACATTTTCATTTTATCCAAAAAGTGAGAGTAGTAGCTTGTCACGTTGAGGTGATGAGTGCACCATGTGGTACCTAGCATGCCATGTTCATGTCTCCTTGTAGAGGTGGGACAACATCGTGCTCAGCGTGCCACATCCAGATCTCTTTGTAGAGGTAAAACTATATCATGCTCAGCATGCCACGTCTGAATCCCCTGGTGGAGGTAAGATTGTGTCATGCTCCGCATGTCATGTCTAAATCTCCTTGTAGAGATAAGATCATGTCACGCTCGACACGCCATATCCTTGTAAATGTGACTCCATGTCTCTTACCCCTGAGCAGGGGCGGACGTATGTATATTCTTAAGGGGGCCATGGCCCCTCCCACTTTTTTTTTTTTTAAATACTACTCCTAAAAATTGTTTTGGCCCCTCCCAAATATTTATGAAGGCAATTTAGTACCAAGCCAAACTGCCATAATTCTTTTTATTTTAATTTTATATTTTGAGTTTTATATTTTAAATTTCATATTTGAGAGATTTGTAATTTTAGTCTTGTAATTTTTGAGTGTTCTCATTATTAGTACTGTAACTTTACCCGCATGCCGGTTAGGTTATCTAACTCATATGGATTACGAGTAGGTCTTTGTAGTTTTAAGGATTTTTGCATCGGAAAGTACACTTTATGGCAAAAAAAAGCGACATTGACGGCATATTTTGCATTGAATTATCGATAGGAAACTGTAGTTTCCTTTGGAAAACTACTTAAGTTGCAAAAAATTGTTAATTACATAACCAAATTTACGAGCAATTGAGGTATCAAGACTAAAAACGGGAACAAAGTAAATTTATTGGACCAAAATTACAAATTTTCTTTTTTATCGTCTACTAAAGCTTATTTACGAGCTCAACCCGTATTCATTTGGGCTTACCATATTGGACAGAATGGTGGATCGATATTTATGTCATCATACATATGGTCTTGAAAAGTTATGGGTCCAGGACCTCTACCACCCTTCCACCCCTGAGATCCTCCCCTAAATATAAGTACATGTCTTTTTTGGAATAAATAAATAATGTAATTCCTATTTATGAAAATTTTCAATGCATTTATTGTTATGTAAGGAATTTTCTTCATTTCATTATACATTTATACTTAGCTTGAATTATCCAATTAAAATGTATTTAACATAGGGTAGACTTTATTTTCGAATATATTAACCGATACATTTGGGTTAATCAGGGGCAAGGACAGGAAACGTGGGACATGGAGTGTTTCACGACCAAGATCTCTTTTTCGAAGAGTACGAGGAAATGAATGGGACCTTAAAGATATTCGTTTATCCCCACAAGAAAGACGACCCCTTCGCGAATGTTCTGTTACCGGTCGACGGCGAGCCCGGCGGCAACTACGCCAGCGAAAGCTACTTCAAGAAATCCCTCTTCAAGAGCCATTTCATCACCCAAGACCCAAACGAGGCCCACCTCTTCTTCCTGCCCTTCTCCATCGCTAGCCTGAGAAACGACAAGCGCATCGGCGTAGGAGGGATTAAGGATTACGTCAGAGATTACGTCTCTTACGTCAGCCACGAGTACCCTTTCTGGAACCGCTCCGCCGGCGCCGACCACTTCTACGTTTGCTGCCACTCCGTCGGGAGGTCGGCGATGGAGAAAGCTGTTGACCTAAAATTGAACGCCGTTCAGGTGGTTTGCTCTTCCAGCTACTTCTTGCCGGGGTACATCGCCCACAAGGACGCTTCCATCCCGCAGATATGGCCACGGAACGGGAACCCGCCGCGTCGACCGCCGCGAAAGCGGTCAACGCTGGCGTTCTACGCCGGAGCGATGAACTCCCGGGTCCGGCGAGATTTGGTCGGGCGGTGGAAGGACGACGAGGAGATATCCGTCCACGAAAGCCGCTTGAAAACGTCGTACGCGGAGGCGCTATTGGGGAGCAAATACTGCATCCACGCAAAGGGGTAAGGATATGTCAAATGCATAAATGTTACCTTAACTATTGCGTTTTAGTACTTTATATTTTAAATGAATCAAATCAGTATCATAACTATATATAAACATTCCAATTTGAGACTTTATTAAAATTTGCGGCCGAAAAATCCTTCATGACAACCGACATTGCATGTGTAGTGTCACTCTATATGATCATATGGACAAAAATAAGGTGATATTGACTTTACACATAGAATTCCGATAGCCACGTGTGATATTTTGGCCGTAAATTTGAATAAAATCTCAAGTTGAAACATTCAAGTATAGCTAAGGTACTATTTGGATTCATTTAAGAGTTAAGCTACCAAAATGCAACATTACCAATAGTTAAAGTACTCTTGATATTTATTACTCCTTCCGTCCCTTAAAACTTTACTTATTTTCCTTTTTGGTCATCTCACTAACTTTGTCACTTTCCTTTTTAAGTAAATAATTTATGATCCTGATAATTCTCTCTTCTCTTCACAAACCTCCATCACACAGGTTTTACTTTATTAATTTCTGTGTCGATCAAACTTGACAAAGTTTTAAGAGACGGATGTAGTATATTATATAATTGGCGACACTCATATATAGTTAAGGTATTATTATATGATGCTAGAGCTCAATTATTATCTCACAGGTACGAGATCAACACTGCCCGAATCGGCGACGCCATCTACTACGGCTGCGTGCCGGTGATATTGGCAGACTTCTACGATCTCCCGTTCGCCGACGTTTTGAATTGGAAGAGCTTCTCAGTGGTGGTTTCGACGGCGGACATATTTCGGATGAAGGAGATACTTAAAGGGATAGATTACTCGGATTATGTGAAGCTGCAAAGCAATGTGATGAAGGTTCAGAGGCATTTCCGGTGGAACAATTTTCCGGCCGATTTTGATGCGTTTCATATGGCTATGTATGAGCTTTGGCTTCGAAGAGGTGTTTTAAGACTCTCTTGATCAAGCTTAAATAAAGTGTCCAATGTACATGCCAGGATAATATATATATATATATATATATATATATATATATATATATATATATATATATATATATATATATATATATATATATATATATATATATATATATATATATATATATATATATATATATATATATATATATAATACATATAATTAAAACGGAGTATATACGTTATTATAGATAATTGACAGTAATAAACTTCTAAAGTTTTTTATTACATTACTTTAGCGTAATCCACCACATTGAATTGAGATGATTGTGCTATGCTAATCAAAAGTGATACTTATTTTTTTTGGGAAAAATGACTTGTAGTGATTAATTAAAAAAAGTTCTCTCGATCACTGGTCCTCAAACTAGACTTGGACTCGATGACTCTAGAAAATCCATATGGTTATCCCGTTCGAAAGTGACCACTGCTAACCACCATATCGCTGGACCGTCGCCGACTAGTGTCATGCTCAGAAAATAATGCCATATTTAAAACTTGAAAACAATTCATGTCAAGTGACCCAAACGCAGGACCACGGAACCAGAGTAGAAGTATTATGTTTTGTCCCTGGGATTCAGGGATTGTATGGTCCTGGTATGGAAAGCTCTTCTAGAATCGAGATAAAAAACATGGTTAAATTATCATTCCAAAAGAAGCACAAGAGTTTATCTTTATTGATCAAATAATGCAAAACATAACCTTGAGGAAGAAGAAAAGAAAACAAAATGACAAAGGTGCATTGAATTCAGTAGAGATATAGCAATCATATCATTGTACCAATGTATGTGTGTGTTATGTGTACTAAGATGCTTAGTGTGCAGCTAGAAATGGCATACACAGAAGGAAAATAAGAATGTGTGTTTTCTTATTTGAGAGAATAAACCTACAATACCCAAAAGTATTAGGCATTGTTCTGTCTGCATATTTTTAAATTTAGTGATCAAATATTTGTTGTGTTAATCCTAAAATTTCACTACATTTACGCTAGTGCCCAACATTAACAACATGGTCATTCTGCTTAGTATGATAGTTTTGGAATATTAGTAATAAAGAATAGAGAGAATTCTACAACGGAACTGCTACAACTATTTTCGTAGAAAACTCGATCAGTTTTAGCTTATAATTATTTGGCCCAAGTCATAAAATGTACATTCAACTAGGTATATACACAAATTTTTTAACCATTAACATTTCTCATTCCTTATTAATCAAAATTAAAAATTCAAATTTTGAAAATCAAAATAAAATATGTGAATAATGCAAAGTCACAAATTAATACGAAGTATTACAACTAATTAAAAGAGGTGATACAAATTTGAAATAGAAATTAACTGTAAATACAAATTTGTAAAGAATGGAAAATCTACACATGTACGCCGTAAGACGCCGCAGTAAACTAGAAGTAGCATTTCAATATCCTAAGATGTTTTTTTTCGTAAAAACGAAGGAAAAGGAAGAGAAGTGGGCGGCGGCGAAGAATTCGAAGGAAAACCCAACATAAAACTCACGTTTTTATTCTCTTTCAACGTCCTTTCAGGCTCGGGTCCGACCCTGCAGTCCTTCTCCGCTGGCCCATCAACACAAGACTCGGTGGTCTCGTCCTTCTTCGACGCCGTGTCAGTCAACGCCGCCTTATCCCGTCTCAATATCTTCACCAGATTTTCATCCAGAAGAAAAAATATCTTCATCAGATGATGGCTGTTTTGCATCTCGAAGCGGCAAAGAGGGCATTTATGGCTTTTGTGCAGCCACTTTAGGATGCATGTGGCGTGAAACATATGTGAGCAAGGCGTCTTCAAAACTCTCTGTGCTTCTAATTTCAGACCTTCCAAACACACCGCACAAGTCTCCTCTCCGCCGCCGTCTCTGTTCGGTAGCGTGACGAAGTCCCCAGTCAACGACTTCAGCTCCGGGAGTAACACTCTCTCCTCCCGAATGTGGAACAACGTCACGTCCACGAACACGCGCGCCACGTCGCACGCGCCAAGGTCGCGGACTGCCGCCGTTATTCCGGAGACCATGCCTTCAAATCCTTCCCACTTATCAAAAATTCCCCCGCCGAAGCTGCACAGCCTGCGGCGTATGGCGGCGCGAATTTCTCCCAGTTTGCAGTTGACGATGTCGGCGAATTTAATTCTGGAACAAGTTTCTAAAACTTCTCGAGGAAGTACATCGATGGCTGAATCTTTGGCTCCCTCTACAAAGGCGATGAAACGATGATTGTCGTAGAATGTGAAATCGATTGTGGTGACGGTGGCTGGTGAGGGACGGAGGTCGGCTGCGGCGGGATTCAGAACCTCAAAAGTGGCTCTACGAATGACATGGTCATGGCAGTGGAAGCTTTCTTCCAATTCCGCCTCATTACACATATAATCCATAATAATTAAATACTCTGTAAAATAATAAAGTGAAGGTACTCTACTATCCACGGTTGACGATAATATATACACAAGTGAAGAGGTCCAAGTGTGTTGGGAAACTAATATACTAGGCAGTACAATAAAATTTAGGAAACTAAGTATACCAGAGTACAATACTACTCCGTATATTGAATCGAAATAATACGAAATACTATTCATTCGAAATACTATATTGACTCAATATTGTTTCCTAATATTGATTCGAAATAATGGCGAGCGTATACCTCTCACACTTTTGCTTTCCAAAAATATGACGCGCTCCTTCGCCCAACGGATCTACGCATCTCTTCTCTGCAGCCATCGACGCAAGACATCCCACGCAGTCATCGAGCTAATGTCTTCTTCGCTGCTTCTCACCTCCTCGCATCCGGTCATTCCCTGCTTCCCACCGGTATGACGGCGACGGAGATGGTCTGCATCGGCGACGAAAGCTTCATCTTCTCCATTTTCACTGCTTTTCTTCGCTATCCCTGTTCAAATCTGTTAACAATTTCAGATCTGTAAGAGTTCAGATGGGCTATGGGGCTGGGGCGAAGAGGGCGGTGGTTGTTGGGGCAAGGATGCGCTGTTGGTCGGTGCTAGGGGCGGATTCGGTTGTGGAGGGGTTGCTGGGCGGAGTTAGGGGCGGATTCGGTTGTGGCAAGTTGTTGGCTGGCGCTGGGGGCGGATTTGGTTGTGGCACGTTGCTAGCCGGCGCTGGGGGCGGATTTGATTGTGGCACGTTGCTGGCCGGCGTTGGGGGTAGATCTGGCTGTGGCAGGTTGCTGGGTGGCGTAGGGCGGTGCTTGGGGGTGGCTGGGGAGGAGGTCGGGGGCTGGGAAGGGATGGGGAGGTGGCTGGGGGCTGGAAGGGGCTGTGGAGGTGGCTGGGGCCGGAAGGGGCTGTGGAGGTGACTGGGGGATGGGGGATGGAGAGTTGAGTCAGGGCTGGGGCAGCGGCCGGGTGGCGGTGGCCGCAACAGTGGCTTCAGTGTGGCATGTCAATATGGCTGAGTAACTGTGGTCGGTGGGCCCGCAGTTATAGTGACCGGAGTCACGGACAGTGACTTTTGTCCGTGAGGCAGTCACTGTGACGCCGGAGTCACTTGGGCGTAGTCACTGTGATTGGTTGGACAGTCACCGGTCCGTGGGGCAGTCACTGTGACGCTGGAGTCACTTTGGCCGGAGTCACTTTAATCGGAGTCACTATCACCGGAGCAACGACGGTGCCAGCAGCGGCAGCGGCGGTGCTGGCGGCAGCGGGGTCGGTGGGGTCAGCGATGCGGGTGGCTGCAAAGGAATATTATTAAAATAAAAAATGTATTATTAAATAATAGGATTAAATGACTTTTAGTCACTTTTTTGGAAATATTTAAAACATGTCACATTTTTGTCTTTTTCATTCTTGTTAGTAATATTAGAATAAAAAGTAATTGTCCCATATAGGACTAAAACAAGACTGAAATGCAAAAATAAGACTTCTTATCTTTTTTTCCCCAAATAGGATCAATTTAATCCTATTACGAAACATAAAGAAAATTGCATCCCAATTTTGCCCATACGGTTATTTTTCATATGTAGACCAAATTTCTCTCCCAACCTCCCGTACCAGGCATCGGATCTACTTGCGCAGCAGAAGCTTTCTCCTCTATGCACCAGAAGCTTTCTCCCCTATGCAGCAGAAGCAATTTCATCCGACCGATCCTCTCTCTCACGCCACCGTCGACTCTCTTCTTCCGCACAATCAATCGGATGCGCACTAGATTTGCTTCTTCTGCGGCAGGAACAATGGATTCCTCTTTGCACATCGCTCCCATAGACACCGCTACCGCCTACCGCCACTCTCCCTCATGCCGCCGTCGTTGAGGTTCTCCTCTTCATTCTCCTCTGCCTCCTTCTCCTCCTCCTCCTTCTTCTTTTTGTTTCTTCTATTTCTCTATTTTTCTGGATGTTGACATTGATTTTGCTAATTTTTGGATTTCTGTTTTTTATTTACAATTTCCAATTTCATATTTTTTAAATAATTGCCAATTTTCCAAAATTTTGGATGATGTCTTTAGATTTTGCCCAGTTTATGCCAAAAAAAGGTATACTGACAAGTGATTATGGCAAAATTTCATTTATGTAAGACGATTTTTCTAATTTTTTGTCATTAGCTTCGTTTTCTAAATTTCCGATTGTGTTAGCGTGCTTATTCCATTTTTTTATTTTTCAAATATTTGGATACTGAATTCATATTTTTGTCAAATTTATGGCATTTTTGTTTTAATCTTCCAACATAAATCTGCCATCTTTATGGCAGATCTAAAAACCTGCCAACTTAATGCTGGTGGTGGCGAAGGATGGTGGCATATCCAACAACGGAGGCGGCAGGCGGCGCTGGAGAGGGCGGCGGTAGGCGATACCGTTGAGGGCGGCGGCAGGCGGCACCAAAGAGAGAGGTAGTGTGCGGCGGCGAGGGTGGCTCGTTTTTTACGATTGAAATTTAGGGTTTCAACATTTTAATTTTACATTTTTCTTTTAATTATTCATTCAAAAGAAATTGAGTAGAGGCATATTTGTACAAGTATGTGATTTTAAGTCCTATGAAATACACGTTTCATTTTTGGTCCTATTTGTGCACATGAATCATCTTTTAGTTCTATTTAGGGAATTAACTCTAGAATAAAAAGGCTATCAATAAACTCTGTTGTTTCCTAAGAAATGCTCCCTACGAAATACGCCGTACTATATTGACCCAATATAATTGAATGCAATTGGGTTTCAAATAAGTTATAAACGTGCAATTTCTTTTGCTTCAAGCTAGGTTCGAAATAGGAAACCATATATATTGATTTCTTTTGCTCGAAATAGGAAACCATAAAATCTCATAAGTCATAAACAATTTCTTTTGCTCCGATTTATTTACGGACTTACGGAGCATTAAAATAAGACCTGGATTGTTCTTATATTCTTTAATTTGATCGGTCTTATGTTTTGTAGTCTTGTATAATTATGTATTTTAAAGTTAATAAAATTCCAAATTTCCTTTCATTTAATCTCTGGCCTCTATTGATCGAGTAAGTAGTTCCGATCCATAACTTCGATCGAAATAATTTGATTCAAATTATAGGTAGGAGATGTTGGAATTAACCTTGTTGTTTATAATTTCATCGTGTTTAATTTAGTTTATTTTGAGTCATTGATGCATTTTAGACTAGAGTGTGAGTGCACGGCGGGATGAGTCATGTCAAGTAGTGTGCGTCGCGTGACACCGTGCATGTGTTGTAGCGGTATTGATATGCGTATGCAGTGGCGGAGCCATATTTAAAGGAGGGGCCAAAATTGAACAAACATAATATTGAGAAAATTTCCTAAATAAAACTACAACAATGAGGAAACTCATAAACAAGATTATTAATTACAGTCATCTTAATATAATAGGAGTACATTAACATTGTAATACATATTAAATCATTAACTATTTTATACTACGCACTACATATTTTTCGAAACCCGAAACCATATTTATGAACCTAAAAATTCAATAATCAAATATCAATTATTTAATTTTTTTAAGAAAAGGCAAAACGGAAAGAACCTGCCGGATAGCAAACTCAGCAGTCGTCAGCATCGCAACAAGAAGTGTGTACTCCGTAGGGTGGCGGAGGGCGGCGGAGGGCTGGCTCCGGGAGTCCTGGCGCCCTGGCGGTGTGGGCGTGTGGTGCTAAATTGCTGCTTGCGAGTTGCGACGCAATGAATCGCCCATGAGTAACAGGCACAAAGGCCAGAGCTGCTGCGGTCTGCGGACACTTCATGCTTGGTCTTCCAAAATTCTTATTTAGGTAGTTTGAGGCCTTTGGCTGTTGGGGTTGGCCCAATCAACCCTGATCTATTTTTTTTTTAATTTGGCCTCAGAACGACATCGTTCCATTAACTAAAAAAGAAATCACCAGTAGCCCTCTTCATTCCCTTTCATCGTCTTCCTCAACCTCAGTTTGAGCCTCGCTGAGTCACCGGAAAAAATGGCAACAGCCGCCCTGACAGCCCCTCCTACACCCTCCTATACCTCTCTCGCACAGATGAAGCAGGGGCACCGCCCCCTGGCCCCCTTGCAGATCCGCCCCTGTGCGTATGTGCCGTTACACTAGTGTCAGTCTAATTTGGGTCAAATTAGTTAAGTTGCATATTAAGTTATTTGTATTTAGTACTACCTCCGTCCCCCTGTTATTGTCCCATTGCGGTTTACGATGCTTGACTAACGATAAAGCAAATAAATCTCTGTCCATACTAGAATTATTTTTAGAAAAAAAAAAGCATATTCAGAAACTACATTAAAAGTTTTACAAAGTCGCAAAAACCAGAATCAAATTTGATAAAAATTTGATAAATAAAGTAAGAGATTAAGAGTGATTTGTGTTGACCAAGTGAATAGGAAATGAGACAATAATAGAGGGATATCACTCTCCCTAAACTACAAAATACTAAAAACATCTAGTTCATAATGAGAATTTAAAAGTAAAACATAGAAGATGCTTCCCCAAAAGTGATATTATTATAACAAATTGTCAAGAGCATCAAAAGTTAAGGATAATTTCCACTAATATATTAAAATCAATATGTCATTGTCAATACAGGAGTCCACTAATCTAACATCTAAGTGTCATGGTGCATGAGTTGGAACGGGCCCATGAATCGGGAATTATTCAAGTATGGTAACCGCTCTGCTCCATGCATGTATTTGGTCATACCAATGTTGGGATATTGGGGTCCAGTCCAGGAATCCGCCCAAATATCCTTACAATTCATAAGAAGTAATGGAGCCCAACAAAACGGTATACCCCGAACATGTAACGCCCGTACTTTTATCTATTTCTTATGTGTTAATCGTTTTCATTATGATCATCTTTTAACTTATGATTTGAATGTTATATATGTGAAATATAGGGATATCATGTGATTATGAACTTGTGATAATCCTATTTGAATTCACATGTTTGTATTATGTTTGAACGTGACAGGTGACGGTATCCGATGAGCAACGAAAATGTACTGTAATAATCATTTTATTTCGAAAGGAATATTATTTCAAGTTAGTTGTCATGTTAGATAGTATTCGGGTGTTTAAAATATAGTTTAAAATGTCATCGGGGGTCTAGGATGGGATCGGCAACAATCGGGGTTGGTTTAGGGCGAAAAAGGGTGTTTTCGTCACCCGGAGGGTGCCGGACCGGCGCCGGTTGGGCCCAAACCGGCACCGGTTCAAAACGGAACATTTAGAGTGTTTATTGAGTCTTATTTATCTTGAGTATGGTAATGGCCGTTTGGGGATGCATGGTCGTTACAAAACAGGTCCAGTGATCCGACATAAATATCGTGTTTGGTACTTCTCGAACGGGTTGAATCTCATACTTGGGCATGAGGGAATGTCATCTAGACATTGGCCCAAGGAACTGATCGAGAAATCTGGCAATTGGCGGATGCGCATTTAATGCTGGATATGGGCACTTAAGTGACAAACATGAGTGCTCAAGTGGAAAAGGGATCCTCCATCCAGGAGTAGCCACGTCATCCATCTCACCTATCCACTTCTAGTATAAATAGTAATATTTAACTCATTGTGAGGGATTATCATTTGAATACTCAATAGTTATATACATCACTCTAGTCTTTGCATTAGCAATTGGACCGTAACTTCCATTTGACAATTTGTGTGTAATCAACATAATTACCCTAATGGGCTATTGAGTCATTATCTTAGCTGATTTTATTGCCAAGTTACTTTCTATTTGATAAGCTTTTATTGATATTCAAAGGCTCTGTTTTATTGTTGGATCTAGACGCATTGACCTCAACACCATACATACAAAAACATATACGATCATTTGACTCATATTTCAAGAAAAGTTTTGAGTTTTACACTTTTACTAATGTTGGGATATTTCCCTCCAAAATTTATAAGGTAATGCTACAACACCTGATTAATAATTGAAAGCACCCTAACAGTACACTTTATTGCTCTCTGTCATTGTTTTAACAACGTTACTAACAACCAGTTAATTAAACATGTCTTTATGATTTAAAACTTTAAAAGTCTAAGGTCACTAAATGAGCTATCAAAAGGGGCACTAAAGACTTGATAAAGTTCGTTAACTTCGATCCATATACTAGAAAAAAGAGTATGAAATTGCTCTAAATAGGAGCAAAAATGTTATGAAATTCCAAAATAGGAGTATTATGTTTTTTATTCCATGAATAAGAGTAATCTGCCAAGGTTGGGAAAAAATGTCATGTTTAAAGCCTAGTAATGCCAAACTTGGCAGAAATTTACTCATATTCAAGGAATAAAAAATATGATACTCCTATTTTGGAATTTCAAAACATTTTTACTCCTATTTAAGGAATTCTCTCAAAAAAGAGTGAATTTCTAGTTAACGGAAGCAAGACCAGGCAAATATGCCTTGCAGTTTTTTTCTACTAAATACATTTTCAAACTAAATATAATAAAATACATTTTTTCTACTATATACATTTCTTTGAGGTACAATAAATTGGAAACCCATATTGATACATGGTAGTGTTTGGAAGGTAGATTCTATGGTATCCATAATGTACCATATCTTTGTCCACATAGACCAATTAAAATGTTGCAGTTGAATGATTTAAATCTAAATTAAAAATAATATACTATCTCCGTCCCAAAAAACTTTATCAATTTCAAAACTTTGATCGATTATATCTTTTTATTGGAAACTATTTATAATATAAAAGTTATATGAAAATGTTCTTTGTTAAAGAGCGCCGCGGTCTCTCCCTAGCAGGTCTAGGGTTTGGTTTTTCCTTAGCAGATCTAAGCTAAGGTTTGATTCTCCCGGTCGGTGAATCCCCTTCACTTGTGTCCGGCGCTGTGATTGGATTTGAGGCAGATTGACAAGAATCCTTGCTCAAGCTTGACGACATTGAAGCCAGAGTTCGACGATCAATTTCTTCATGAGCAGGGTAGCAAGGGCATGGCATCGATGAAGATGACCACTAGCGGTGGATTTGCTACGAGCGTGGGACAAGGAGAGGTGCACGGATTTCGAGCAGACCAGATGATGATTGACAATGGAGGATCAATTAGAGTGGTACCAAGGATACGACCTCCTCCTGAACCACCGCCATGGGTTGTATGAGGTGCTAGAGCCCGTGGAAGTTTTCTTATTAGTTATTTTTATTCTGTCATTTGGCTTCTTGTTATCGTCTATGTTGTTAGGTTTGTCAATTTGTTTGGGAGTTAAACCTTTTTTATGTCATTGAGTATGTTTGGATCTATGGAAATATGGATGACTGTGTCAAACCCGCTAAATGGTTAGCGATTCGCGTTGCTCTTTCAGGGGTAACTGTCTCTAAGTCTGATCATAGGGTTTACAGTAATAGCTGTTGGATTTTAGTTGGTGTGAGTTTTATTTTTCCTTTGATTGATGTAATGATCCTGAAACTTATGATATGAAAGAAGGCTAATTGACGATCAAATTTTTTTGAAATGACAAAAGTTTTTTGGGATAGAGGTAGTATCTATTTGGATCAATCAAGTGAATGATAGATACAATATCTCATTTATTTAAATGGGTACCAGAGTTCTCAAGTCTTTCGATCGATTATTATTACCATAAAAGCAAATATTGAGCACTTATTATTTGCCAATAAATAATTGGTACTAAACGCACGCGTAAACGATACGGTTTAAACATCGCTGCATTGGAGTTTATGTCACAGCTTTCTTTCTGGAAAGTATAGTTAATGATTTGTCGAGAGAAGAAGCTGCTCCTATAAAGTCTCGCCTGCCGCTGCTGATTTTGATTTAGTAGAGAAATTCAGAAATCGATCGATATCGTTTTTACGCTTCAGTCTTCACACGCAGGTTAGTAATATATATCAGAGTCTCTCTCTGCTTATCGTAGAAGCAGCTGTGATCTTGTAGACTGTTACTTGTTATAAGAATCTAATCCGGAAATCCTGTTTTAGATGGAATAGTATTTCATTTTTGCACGCTTTTTTGCCTACGAAACATCTAGATTGGCGCCGATCGCGTTACTTAATTTCCTAGCAATGGTGGATCGGAGTTTAGCTTATGGATTCAATTTCTATTCACTTGCGTCGGTGTTCTGAAAATCTATTAGGCTTTAATTTTCCCTTGGCTTGTAGTGGTTTTGTGGCATTTAGTTCTTTCCTCAATCCCCAAATTAAGCTCAGTTTATGACGTTTTAATGGATGATCGTTAAAAAAGTATTCTTCTTCGACAGCACCGCGTTAACTATAGTCACGATTAGAAATTCCACTAAGTTTTCTATTGAACCGCAAAAGGGTGGAGGTAGTAGCTGCCAAATTTACTTAGGAAAGGATGTTTTATAACCATGTTTAATTATCTTTACGTGTTTGCAGAACTTGAACAGATTCAGTGATTCACTTAAATCTGATATTGTGATGAAACTTATTCAACATCTGATCCCTTACCTACCGTTTACGAAATATAGTACTTTCATTCTTTTTTCAGGCGCTTTTGAAACACTGAGATAGAGGCTAAGTGGAGTAATATATAGAGATAAATATGACGGAAAAGGAAGAAATTCATTTGAAAGTTGAGAACAAGATCAAGTCCGATGAGAAGGCAGAAAAGACTGAGGCGGAAATTGATGTGAAGAGCAAATCAGTGGAGAAAGAAGACAAGCTTAAGCACAAGGATGGTAAGAAAGAAGACAAGCATCAGGATTCCAAGAAGGAAAAGAATACAGAGGCGAGTGGAGATGAAGATGATAAGAAGAAGATGAAAAAGGGGAAATCAAAGAAGGAAAAGAGCAAAGAGGAGGGCGAAGATGAAGAAGATAAGAAGAAGATGAAAAAGGACAAATCTAAGAAGAAAGAAAAGGACAAAGAGGAGAGTCAAGATGAAGATGAAGAAGATAGGGACAAGGTGAAAAAGGAGAAATGTAAGAAGAAAGATGGAGAGAAGAAACACAAGAAAGAGAAGGATACAGAAAAGGAAATAAAACACGAAGAGGGGGGAGAAGCTGTTGAACATATACTTGAAGAGAAGGGTGAGGACAAGCATGACAAAGAGGATGATAAGAAGGGAAAGGTGAAGAAAGACAAAAAGGAGAAGGGAAAGGAAAAGAAAACTAAGGGCAAAGAGGTAGACTCTGAGGAAATATCAGATGAAGAAAACGACGAGGAAACAGAAGATAAAAAAACAAAAAAGGATAAGAAGAAGAAAGAAAAGAAGGAAAAGGGAACTAAAACGAAATGCAAAAATGAAGGGAAGGATGAAGAAGTGCATGATAGAGAAGAGGTTGAGGTGTCTGGGCCTGATGTGGCCACAAGAGAAATACAAATAGATGGGATTGAATCAGAGGGAATATGTAAGACTGAAAAGAAAGAAAAGGAGTTCAAGGATGACAAGAAAGACAAGTCTGATAAGAAGAAGAAAACTAAAGGCAAGACAAAATGCAAAGATCTTGACACGCTGAAAAAGAAGCTGGAGAAAATCGATGCAAAAATGGAAGTTATAGTGCAGAAAAGAGCAGAGATCTTGAGACAGATGAAAGAAGCTGAAGACCAGAAGTCTTCTCTTGCTGGGGCTGATGATGGGCAGCATTAGGCGGCATATGTAATACTTCTATATATTTTACTGTGTTATCTCTTTTATTGACGTTTTTTGCTCTGTATTTCCATGCCATACAAAGTTCAATCTTTTGATGTAGTAGATTGTACAATTGTAATTTAATTGCTTCTTCTTTTGTCTTGGGAGTGTTTAAATGAATAAATATGGCATTTATCGTGTTAATGAACCTTCCAAATTCCAATTAGTTTCAACAAAAACAATAGCTCTCCCTTCTCCTTAGGCAAACGGGTTGTGTTCTGTTGCGGTAAGTGAAGTGGAAAAACCTGTGTAAGATTTTAAGTAAGATTTTATACTAGAGTCTGGCACTTACTACATTGGCCTTTAAAACAGCTTCCTGAATTATTATTATTATTATTATTATTATTATTATTATTATTATTATTATTTACTTAAAAGTAATTTTAAAATAACTTATAATCGTCTAACTTTACCTGTCGCTAATTTAACTCCAAATTTAGAGGAGTAGTTTTTCCTCTTTTCAAGAGTTCCTCTTTGTTTTTGTTCATTATTGCGTCTCATGTAAATATTTTTTGTAACTAAATTGCTTGAACGAGCTTATTTATTAATTTATATACGTAGTATATATAGTGTAGTATACACTATATAGTATATACCCCACTACGTTCATAAATATATAGTATATACCCCACTATTATTAATTTATTTGATTGCAGGTGTTGTGACTTTGTAAAGCTTTTAATATAGTTTCTGAATATGTAATTTAACTGTTAACAGACATCCGTTTGTTTTATATTTTTCAAACATCACAAATCACAAAAATAAAGGGACGTAGGTAGTAGTTATTAAATACTCTGTAATTTTTTTGTCTATGACATTTTAAAGATTACTCCGTAGTATTTATGGAATTATATCCTTATAAAAATGTGAAAAGACGAATTAGTGCAATATTTTTGAATGGTTCGTACATTGCAAATTTGCAATATATAAAAAGGGCTCGGAATACGAATTATTAATTATCCTTATCCGCCTGATATCAGAAATGGCTAGTCTGGCGGCTGAGTTGGATAATAAAGGCAGCGATTTTTTGGTCGGTTTCCGATGTCTGTTACGGCGAAAGCCAGTTGACTCCGCGGCGACTCGTACACGGGACGACGGAGGACATCCGCAATTGGCTCGAAAGCTCTCTGTATTTGATCTGATCGCCATGGGTAAACTCTGCCGAATTGCTTTAGGCTTAAGATGCTGTTCCTAACCGCTCGATTGATATAATTTTCAAGTTGTATATAACCGACACATTCAAGAATTCCCATACGTTTCGTCTTTGCAGTTCTATAAATTTGTTAGAGATGTAGGCGTCACAACCTTTTTGCTTTGAAACTGATGGTTTTGGCATGACTGTTGGAAGTAAATAATTTGTTAGAATCGTTTCCCTACCAAGACATATCTTTTCGTTGTCAAAGATCTAAAAATAAGGCAAATAACCCTAACAAAAGACTAATAAATAAAAACTATTTGGTTAGACGCATTAATTAAATTAGTAAAGCTAAACATATCATCTTAATTAACTAGTTTTGGTCATATCTTTAGGCAATCTTGGGACGGAGCGAAAAATTACCACCAGGATAATAATTACTCTCCGCCCCGATGACAATGTTTCAATCTTTTTTGGCACAAATGCATGAAAAACATCTTTTTGGTGTGCTCATTTGGTTAATAATATCACTTAAAATATCATCTTATTTTGGTTTACTTATTTTAAACCATTTTAAGAAATGAGGCAACAGAAATAAGAATTCTCCAAAGGGAAAGTGGAATATTAGATATGGGAGGGAAGGAACATATAGTATTTGAGAAGTAGCTTCTAACTCATGGTAGAAGTTTTTCTGCTTCCTCTAATCAGTAAGGTTCTCAGCTGGACTGCATTTAAATCCCATGTTAGCCATGGTTATTAGTTTACAGGTCATATCATCCCAAATCTTGGTTGCCATTATCAAGATTGCTTTGTTTCCAGGATAACCGTCAGAAGAATGGTTTTGCAACCTTTACTGAAAGAATTATTTTATTATTGATTCCCGTCATTAATCACATTAAATAAAATACTGAGTTCCAGATTTTGTAACCGGATATGATTTAAATTGTCATTCTTGCAGTATTGCTTTACTCTGGAGATATGTAGCTTCTTTTTGTGCATCATAAATTCAACAGAAAGGCAATCCTACAACTGAGTTCTTTATACATTTCTCATGTTATTAGAATGATTGTCAAAGTAGTTTTAGAGTATTTGCTGAGCTACCACTTCTGTTTTCATAGTTGTAGATTTTAAAAATTACTCCTCTTAAAAGAGATATCAGGTTGCATGCATTTTCCTCTCCAATATTATGTACCGTTCGGAGTTTTTTTCAAACTGGTCCTGAGCGTTTAATATGATACTCCTTCAGTCCCTATAAAACTTGGCCAAAGTTTACTTGCACTTAGAATAATAAAGGGAGAACTATCAAATAAGCCCTCGAACTTTCATAAAAAGTGCAAATAAGCCCTTTTACAGGAGGCTTTGTCAGGATGTCGCCATTTGGGGCGGTTTCCGGTGGAATATTTTGATGAAATTTTTTGAGCATCTTCTTCATTAAGTCTAGTTTACCTATACCAAATTTCAGCTAAAAATTAAATCTAGAAGGCAGTCAAATGATTTTCTGAAATATACTGCGCTGTCTAACTGCGCAGTTATCTTCAAAAATTCATTTGACTGCCTTCCCGATTGAATTTTTAGCTGAAATTTGGTATGAGTAAACTAGACTTAATGAAGAAGATGCTCAAAAAGTTTCATAAAAAAATTCCACCGGAAACCGCCCCAAATGACGACGGCCGGACAGCGCCTCCTATAAAAGGGCTTATTTGCACTTTTTAGGAAAGTTCAAGGGCTTATTTGATAGTTCTCCCAATAATAAATTAAAAAGTATGTGGTTGATATTTGTGCAGAGGAGAAGAAATAACTTTAATCACATTATTTATTACTTTAGATGGAAATGACTAGTTTTTTGGGACGGCTAACTATGGAAAATTTGCAAAGTTTAATGAGACGGAGGGAGTATAAAATTTGATGTTCAAGGCTCAAGCAAAACTGATCTTGTTGTCCTTGTGCTTCTTCTAATCAGGTGTAGGAGCAACCATTGGGGCTGGAGTTTATATTCTTGTTGGAACCGTGGCTAGAGAGCATACAGGGCCTTCTCTTGCTATTTCTTTCTTCATAGGTGCAGTTGCTGCTGCACTTTCTGCCTTTTGTTATGCAGAGCTTGCATGCCGTTGTCCATCTGCTGGGAGTGCATATCATTTCTCATATGTCTGTATAGGAGAAGGGTAAGCGGGCATCTTGCGCTGTTCTGAGCCTGTCTCTATCTCTAAACTTTATGCTTATCTCTCAATGTGTTTTGGTGTTGTTAGGAAATTGAATATCCATGAAAAGCTAAAAAAATGTTGATTTCTATACGCTTTATTGTATATCCTATAATAAGCTTCCAATCAGTTTATTTTTAACTTTTAAAGAGTTTCTGGTCCTACAACTATTGTGTCTGTGACGCTTTTGGTACTCAACTTCTAGTTTTCCACTTCTAGTCCTTCGAAAATTGAGAGAGATAGACTGTTGGTCCTTGACTATGAACTTTTGCACATTTAGTCCTCTTACTATTCTGAAAGTGGCACTTTCAGTCCTTCAACTATTATCATAGTCACATTTTTAGTCATTCACTTATTGTGGCAATATCATTGTGAGAGGACTAAAAGTGTCACTTTTATAAATGTCCAAAATGTCAAATATGGAAAATTTCAACACAGTTACCAAAAATGTCTCTAAAACAATGGTCAAGTACCAAAGGTGCCATAAATTGGGAAAAAATCTTATTTTCAAAGAATCTTCAATTGTTCTCTAGGGTTGCATGGTTAATTGGTTGGGCTATGATACTTGAGTACACTCTTGGTGGTGCAGCAGCTGCTCGTGGCATATCTCCAAATGTGGTTAGATCTTACTTCTTTAATGATCTTATCACGTTTCTCTAAATAAAGCTTTTCTGTTTATTTGTTGTTCCTTGAACATTATATTTTCCTATTCTTGGTGTTCAAAGGTCCTATATTAATCATCATTTCAATTTATAGGCCATGTTTTTTGGAGGTGTAGATAAACTTCCTACATTTTTGGCTCGTCAAACATTCTTGGGCATCTTAGTTGACCCATGTGCTGCTGTCCTGGTTCTCATTATAACTGTCCTCCTCTGCACTGGAATCAAGGAGGTAATTTTTATCTTTTGTAGGCCATCTTTATGGATCCCTTTCACATGGTGGCCTCCAATTTATTTGCATTTGCTTTGCAGAGCTCTCTTGCACAGACCATCATCACAGCAGTAAATATTTTTGCTTTGATGTTTATTGTCATTGCTGGTACATATCTCGGATTTAAGACTGGATGGGCAGGCTATGGACTTCCAAACGGGTAACGGTTCCATCTGATTCCATTTTGATGAACTGTTACATGCCCACTAAAAAGGAAGGTTTTTCATGATTTTGAGTTTCCAGGTATTTTCCTTTTGGGATAAATGGCTTGCTTGCAGGATCTGCTACGGTCTTCTTTTCTTACATTGGTTTTGATATTATTGCCAGCACTTCTGAGGAGGTACTGCTTGCAAGTGGATTTTTTATCTACTAATAAGTAATAGCCATATACAGAATGAGGAATTTCTAAAAAGGAGACTAAATAATATCCTATAAGACATCTTATCAAGGTCCTTTTTCCAGGTATCTTTAGTCCTATAAAAGAAGACAATAATGTATGTGAACATTGATATTTAATACCTTTGGGAGGAATTAGAGCTTCAATCGTTTCAGACTCTTTTTGGACCTGCTTTGTGAATCCAGTCCCTCCGACTTCTGCTTCTTTGCATGAAACTCTGAAAGTGATCTCTCATTCTTCATGGAGCTGGGAGAAACACCTGTCCCTTCCACCTCCTTCCAAACACCAATTCATTACCCATTTACCCCCCCCCCCCCCCCCCCCCACCTCTCCAACAATTCAGTTCACAGCCAATCAGCTAGTGCTAATGTTGCCATCACGGCCGGCAAGCTGATTCTTATTTATCGTTGGCGATTTTATATGGGCAATGAGGTAGCACATTAGAAACCAAACACCATGTTGTGACCAACCCACCCTTGTATTACCTGAGCTTGACAAGTGGAATTAGAAAGACTCCCTAGATTGAGAAAGGATATAAATAAGAATACCAACAAAAACACATCTCAATTTGGAATAAATTTGTCATTGATGTTGTTGAGATAGTAGAAAGGTTCCATGGATTTCCCTTGTGAGGAAAATATGTGTTTTATGTTTAGTAAGGGACTACTAAGGGTATTTCATCTCATTTCACGTCTTACAAAAAAGTAAACTAAGGAAGAAGACGACCCTTCTTGGGGAATAGATCCCTGCTAGTCTCTTTTCGCAAAATCCTATAAATATGTTATGTTATATCTTCAGTAATGGTAAGCTTTATCTATTAAATAATACATCATTCCTCCGTTCTTTATTAGTTGCAACGTTTCCATTTTCACGTTTGGCCAGACACAACTTTGACCTTAATATATTTAATTACCTAATTGTAAAAAAAAATCATCATTTGCAATGGAGTCAAATACTCACTTTTTTTGGCTTGGGAATATGATAGAATAAAGAAAAATAGCTCACGTTAGTCCATGCAATTTTTGACCTGATTTTCACTATGGGTCATCCCGAAACAATCTCTTTGTGCTTTAGTACAGGGGTAAGACTGCGTACATCCGACCCCCCTTACCCCACTGTAGGTGGGAGCCTTTGCGGCACTGAGTTAATGATGATGACCTAATTGTAAAAATTTCAAAAAAGTCACATTTTGAAAATTTAAATTGAGAAGAATTTAATTATATTTAAAAAACAAAATTTTAATGTATTCGTAAATAAAATATAGTCAAAGTAGAGCATGTGAATTGTGTAAAAGCAACTAATGTTGCAACTACCCCTGAAGTATATGCGGAGGTGCAGATATACCCCCGAACTTCTAAATGGTGCAAAAATACCCCTAATGTTCCTATTAAGTACCAAATTTACCCTTATTGACTTTAAATAAATAAAATAAATGTAAAAAAATTATAAATTTAAAATTAGAAATTGAAAAATAAAAAATTAAAGAGTTAAAAATAAAGATTTATTTTTATGTTAAAATATTAACTCTTTAATATTAAATTGCAAAATTATTACTTTTCCTTGTAAATGAAGCACTTCAAATACATAAATATTGATTCTAGTCTTGTTGCGAAATTTCGAACGCATTGTTACATTCTTTGAAATAACATTCTTTGGCCCTTCATAGGAACATTAGGGGTATTTTTGCATCTTTTAGAAGTTCAGGGGTATATGTGCACCTCGACATATACTTCAGGGGTTTATTTGCACCTTTCCCTTGATATAATTACATGTTGGATTTAAAAATTTATGCTGTTTCTACTATAGTTTTTTCGTTGGTTATTTCGAGAATCAGAATGAATCTACCTTTTTCTCATTGCTTCTGACGGTACCGTTTATTAGTAACATCTAAGGAAAAATAGATGAAAGACTATATTTGTAGACTACCTGGAGTTGTGCAATTGTCCAATGTCGCATATCGCAACTTATCTAGCTACTTTTGGGCAGGACAGGTGAAAACCCCCCAACGTGATATGCCTCTTGGTATAGGGGCTGCACTAGCTATATGTGCCATATTATATATGCTTGTATCGGCTGTCATCGTTGGTTTGGTGCCATATTATGATCTTGATCCAGACACACCAGTTTCCTCTGTTTTTGCTAACTATGGCATGAATTGGGCTGTGTAAGTTTTGCACTTTTTCCATGAGTCGTGATTTAGTAGTTCTCTATTGAGATTCGAGAGATTCTTTTTCTGTCAGGAATAATCTTTTCTTCTTTTTTATCCTCTTTTTTGTAGTTACATAATCACAACTGGAGCAGTTACTGCTCTTTGTGCAAGTTTAATCGGTGCAATTATTCCGCAGGTACTAAGTGGTTTCTCACTGTGAGTATTTACCTATATATTGCAGAGTATCATATGACATATACTTTAAGCATCTTCTTTTGTGATTTCATATGATTGCTAAGTAGCCTCGAATTCTGATGGCAATGGGTAGGGATGGATTACTGCCTTCCTTCTTTTCAGACATTAGTAGGCACACTCAAGTTCCTCTTAAGAGTACCTTAGCAACTGGAATTTTCATTGCAGTCCTAGCCTTCTTTATGGACGTTTCACAATTGGCAGGGATGGTAAGTGAGTGACAGAGCTGAAAACCTCAATTATCAAGGCTTCATGAAAAAGAAGGTTCAAATCTTTTAAGAATAAATGGAAATTGTTACTCTTTATGCAGGTTAGTGTCGGAACGCTTCTTGCATTTACTACTGTTGCTATTTCCGTACTGGTAGTCAGATATGTTCCACCACCAGATGAGTTGTCTTACCCATCATTGCTCCAGCAATCCGTAACTGCTGAATCGTCCCTGTTACGACATAGAAACACACTTGGAATAGGTGATGAAAGCACTAATTCTAAGCGCAGTACTTACACTAACAGTGAACATCCTCATTGTGTGGCTGGATGCCCTCTTCTTCAAAAAGAAGTAGCTCAAGGTAGTTAGTGCTGTTCAATCAACTGGTTGCTTCTATGGTCCTCTGTTGCGTGTGCGTGCATATTGTGCGTGAGGATCACATTACCTACTTTATTTTAATTAGATTTAGTTTATACACGATCTGACATATCTACTTTATTTGTATTTTTAATATATAGCTATTTTATGTGTATTAAACTATTAACTGCTTGTCTTCACAACCCACTGCTTTTTAGTACACTGCTCACACTGCCTTCCATCTTTGGGTGCCTTTTTCATACTTCAAAAAATCAAGAAATTTCAAATTTGTAACTTCTTTACAGAAAATATATCATTAAAAAATATTAGCAGGAGTGTTCACTGAGTCAACATCTATACTTCTAGGAGTAGATGTATGGTTTAGTAATATACAGACTCTCTCTCTCTCTCTCTACATGTGCATATACACCCTTTATCACTCTATGGACATGGTGAACTTAATGAAATCTTCACTAAGGGAGCCTATATCCTTATATTGTTTCTGTCTGATCAGCACATTTCCAACCCCTTTCACTCATTGCCTGTGTGTGTGACTGTTTGTATATGAGATTCTGTGCTTTATGTATTTAGTTTCAGCTGCTTTAAAGTTCTCAATAATCTGTTTGCTTTTCTGTGTCTTCTATTGGTGGATACTTGATGAAGTTAAGTCTGCACTTGGTTAGAAATGTCATGAATTCGTGCAGATACTTGTGATGAATTCAGGAGACAAAAAAGTGCTTCTTGGGCCATTACTCTAGTATGTGTAGGGATCCTTATGCTGGTATCTGCTGCTTCCGCTCAGGGTCTTTCCAGGTTGATCTGAGTGTGGTTTTGATAAATTTTGTGATCTTTGTTTTAATCTTAAGAAATATTATGATTTTGGTCGTTATTTATTTGTATATCCTTTCTCTTCTACCTTGGAAATTGGAACATCAAAATCTTGCACATTTCACGTGTTATTTGTTTTTGTTTCGAAAAGGTGTGTCTGTCTTATTTGTTCTTGCTTTTCAGAATTTCACTTGTTCTAGACATTTTGTGATGAATCAGGGATTTTCATCATTCATAATAAAACTTACTTTTTGTGAATTGTCACAGCATTCCTCGCTTTGCAGTTTGTGGAGTTGGTGGCATTATCGTGTTATGCTGCTCGACTGTCCTTGGCTGTTTGGATCAAGCTTCTAAGAGGGTGAGTTTCAAGAAATCAGGAGGTAAGGTGAAATTAGCAAGATATGTAAAGTACATATTTGCTTGCTCATCTTTGTCACCTAGTCTTTTCAATCCACCTTTCCTTTGGTAGCCTATGTGTGGAGAGGTGTAGGGAAGATTATACTTTCTTATATGGAACCATAACTCTTTTTTATGACAAGTATAGGTGACCTAGTTTGCAAAATGTGCATACTTAGAAATAGGACGCTGCTCCAATTACGGCTTCGTCCACAATGAACTTACCAAAAGTGCATCAATTGCACGCAAATCAATGTCTATACATAGACATCAGTTGTCTATGCACAGACATTAGTTGTTTGCAACATATAAAAATGTTCGAAACGGAAACGTACACTTTCGTGAGAGTTTCCGTGCTACATAGGTTGTGGAATATAGCCATATATATAGGTAGCTTGATTAGATGCTACACTCCAACTAAGCTAACATGATTACACAAATGATTTATTACCCATTCATCATGGTCATGGTTTGTAACAGGTTTTCTCTGCCCATTTGTTCCATTTCTACCTATTACCAGCATACTTGTGAACACATATTTGCTGTTGAACATCGGGTAATAGCGATCTCTACTCTCTTCTCAGACAAGTTGATATCATGGATGATGTTTCCTTAAATAACTCATTTTGATACGGCGTGAAAAACAAATACACCTTAAAAACTCAGGGCCGCAACTTGGATGTTTGTTCTTCTATGGTTGGCAGCTGGAGTTTTGATTTACGCTCTATATGGCCGAACTCATAGCTGTCTTCAAATGCACATAACATCTCCTGATATTACCCGTTTGAGTTAACATGGTAAAAGAATACTCCGTACAATACACTCTGTAAGCTTCCTAGATGACGATGTTTAAGCGATGCATTTTTCTGTTTTGTACATCGTAGGAGGAGGAGATTGGGATTTGGACCTACTTTTGAAGTGGACGACTTTGGATCTTAGTCGCATGGGTTTTGTATATGTAATAGACATTTCGTTAGGAGTATGATAGGTGTACAAAGTTGGCATCTTGTTGTGTCTAATTTGGAAGAACTCACGCTGATTAGCGAATTTGGAGGAACCCATTTGAAAACTACTATTTTCATCTTTTCAACCTTATTACTAAGTCTGTAACTTTTGATATCACATGTTTGAATTGTGTAATAAATCAAAATAAATAAGTTTGAAGTTACTTTTGTGGCTGAATTGGTTGAAGTCATTCTTTTAGCTATTTTTCATATAGTTTTTGTTTTATTTTATTTTATTTTATATTCCCTCCGTTTCGTTCCATTTCACATTTTCACCCTTCTTATTTTGGATTGTCCATGTCATTTCACTTTATTATATTCGTACCTTAATGAGAATACTTTTAACTACTTTATTAATAATTAATAATTGTACCAATACAAAACACATAATATGAGATAAAGTTCGTATAATTTTCTGTAACTTATCAGATTCAGCCAGCGTGCACAAAGAGAATTTTTCCTTTTATTATAGGTGGACAGTGGTAATTCCCGTCCACTATTCTCATGGTCAACTTAAATCATTTTTAATTCTTTACTTTATAAATCAAATTTTTATCAAATTTACTTTTTTTATCAGACTTTGTAGCAGTTTTAATGTAGTTTCTGAATATGTTAGTTTTATTTACTAAAAATAATCAGAGTGGGCAGGGATTAAGCTGCTTTATCGTCAGTCAAACATCGTAAACCGTTCACGGTAACCTTCTAGCGGGACGGAGGGAGTAGTACAGTACTAGACTACTAGCAACCCAACATTGTAATTTTTTTTTCTGATTTATTTATATTTATATTTATATTATATGAATGATGTCAGATTTTGACCACCTAGGCACCTAAGTGTTCTTGTTGTACCCACTTTTATACACACATTTGTATCCATCTCCTTATTTTGCATAATGTTTTAAACTAGTATCTGAGGTTTACATTATATTAACAATCTTAACACCTTACTGAGTAATGTCTTTGTGTGACACTTATGGCAACGACTTCTTTGTGTGACACTTATGTTTAGCTGCTTTTCAAATATCCTCCATGTTTAACTCCAAATATCCTCCCGTTTGGAGTTATATTATTTGTAGAGATAAGATATTTATTAGGGAAATTACCCAAAATAGGACTAAATGAGGTTTGGAATTCCAAAATGGTACTACTATGTTTTTCTTCCCGAAATAGGAGTTGTTACTGTCATGTATGAAAAACACTGCCATAATTGAAAAATAATGTCATTAATTATAATTAATATTGTCATGTTAAATGCACTGTACTGCAACTATTTGGCAATTACGCCACTACAAAAAAATTTGTCTGTAGTCACGGACTTAGTCACGGACCGTAGTGTAAAAAATCCGTGACTAACACATTTAGTCACGGATTTTGTCCGTGACTAGTTCCGTGACTAATTCCGCGTGACTAGAACGTAGTCACGAAACATTGGCCGTGACTAAATATAGTCACGGTTTAGTCACGGACTCGGTCCGTGACTACATCTTGACCGGAATTAGCCCTCCGGCGCGTTAGTCACGGACTATATCCGTGATTACTTTAATTTAATTTTTTTTTATGTTAGTCACGGACAAGCGCCGTGACTAAGTTTAATTTAATTTTTTTTTATTTTTTGTGGTAGTCACGGACGTGTCCGTGACTAACGTTTTTAAAAAAGCCCGCGATTAGTCACGGACATGTATCCGTGACTATGTTTTTGAAAAAAAAATTAGTCCGGATTAAAAGGTAGTCACGGACATGTATCCGTGACTATGTTTTGAAAAAAAAATAGTCCGTGGATTTAGTCCGTGACTAATGTTTTTTGTTTTTTTAAAAAAATCGATTTGAAATGAAAAAAATAAAAAATTATTTTAATTTTACTTTAAAGCAATTAGAATAAAAACAAATTCCATACAATGTAGGTGTTTAAATCACACATCATATATTCATGTCACACTTTAACCTGTACTTCTCAGGAGTACTTCAAAAATGGTGTTCAAATCGGCACCTGAACATAGGGGTGGACTCGGGCCGGGCCAACCGGCCCGGAACCGGACCGGCCCGCTACTGTGCGGGCCCGGCTCGGACCGGTGAACCGGTTCCGGGCCCGGTTCGGGCCAACCGGCCTGGTGGGATGGCGGTTCGGGCTCGGGTCCTTCAAAAGGTGAACCGGCCCTGCAGGTTCGAGCTCGGGCCGGGCCAATTTTTTTTTTTTGATTTTTTTTAAGTTTTTGGGTTGGGTTGGGCATTTTGGGCCATTTGAGGTGGTTAGGGTTGGTTTGAGGGTGTGGGGGAGGGTTGGGGGTTAACTAGGAAAAGCCCAAAAAAAAAAAATAGAACCGAGGCCCGGCCCGGCCCGGACCCGGGGTTTACCCGGGCCGGTTCCGGGCTTCCCCTTCTTGAACCGAGGCCCGGTCGGGCCCAGGCCCGAACCGGGCCCGAACCGGAACTGGTCCACCCCTACCTGAACATCCCAAAAGTTGCGTAATTTTTATTGAAAAATGCTTGTAGATAGAGTTGTTTGTGGACAGACAATTGTTCGTGCGTGAGACAGAGGGATGTACGAAAGGTGTACACAAAAATGTCTATACCAAGCACAACCGATTTTTATTTTCTTAATTTGCAGTTTAGGTAATATTATAAATCATTCCTTTTGTTTACGGGATGAAGTACTATCTCATGAGATAAAAAACGAAGTTGTAATTGTGTTCATGCAATTGTAAGCACAAAAAAACGTTATGGTTACAAATAAAAAAGTTTGCATCTTTATTTGTACAACACACTGTTATGAGTGTGATTTCATTCTTTCACTAAATGACCAGGTGAGTCATTTGACCGACTATAAACAAGAGTTAGAGGCTGTTGTTAGAAAGGGTTGTTTTAAGGAAAATTTCTGAAAAAAGAGTAAAAACGTTTTGCAATTTCAAAATAGGATTCTCACTTTTTTATTTCTAAATAAGAGTAATTATTGCCAAATATAGAAAATACTGTCATATTTCGAGTCCGCTAATGTCAAAATATGCTAGTAATTATTCCTATTTAACGAATAAAAACAGGACAATCTTATTTTGGAATTCACAAACATTTTTTTCCTATCTAGCTAGACAATTTCTTTTGAATTTTTCTGGCCAACACCATACAGTTTTTATCCATATACAGTTGTATGTGTCGATGTAAGAGTAACAAGTCCACATGCTCAATTACTCCCTCCGTTCCCAAAAATACTTCCCACTTTCCTTTTTGGGCTGTTCCCAAAAATACTTCCCACTTTCCCATTTTGGACAATTTGTGTGACTCACATTCATTTTACCTTTTTCTTACACAACAACAACCATACATTTCCACTTTATTCCACTTTCTTAATAAGCGTGCCAAGTCAAACCGGGAAGAATTTTTAGGAACGGAGGGAGTATAGTTTTTTCATCCGGGCCAGCCCAAAGCATGCGTGGGCAGTTCAACTGCACAGGAACCAAAATCAGTGAGGACCCAAAAAAAAATTATTAAAGGAAATCTATTCACGGCCATCCTTTTACTAAATAGAAAATGCTCTAAATAGAAACGAAAACGTTTTAAAATTCCAAAATAGGAGTATCATATTTTTTATTTCCTGAATAGGAATAATCTGCCAAGTTTGGAAAAAAATGTTATGTTTTAAAGCTTAGTAATGCCAAATTTGGCAGAAATTTACTCCTATTCAAGAAATAAAAAACATGATACTCCTATTTTGAAATTTCAAAACTTTTTTATTCCTATTTAGGGAATTCTCTCTTTACAAAATAGAACCACCTGTTTTTTTAAAATACGATTATGTCCTTCCTACCATCTGCGCCCAAAACTCCCATGAATATCAAAGCCTTTGGAAATCGGATGAACAATTTTGTCTAGACAAGCCTTTGTTTTAAAAGTTGAAAAAATCTATTGGTACATACTATTGGTACACACTCATGTCTGTCAAGGCTTTTTTTTATGTCTGTCCCACACAAAACGTATTTGACAAATACGTTTTGTCTAGGAAGACATAAAAAAACGCCTCACAGACATGAGTGTGTAAGAGTGTGTACACAAAGTGTGTACCCAAGTTTGATTCTAAAAAATTAGATTCTCCAACTTTGAAAATCAACATGCACCAAGTGGCTTTCTCTGCAGTCCAAAGCCTGCTAACATCACCCATGAGTGGCGTTGCGTGAGGCGGCGACAGCTAATTAATTCTAGGGCCGACATTTTGAACCGAAAAACCGAAAACCGAACCGAAAATAACCGAACCGCATTGAAAAAAACCAAACCGGACCGAACCGATAATTTTTGGGACTCGAAAATCGGGACCCAAAAAAAAGTCGGTTCGAAATCGGTTTTCATACTCAAATTATCGGTTTGGACCGAACCGAACCGGTTTTTTTAATAATAATAATAATTATTATTACTAGTAGTAATGATACTTACAAATGATATAATCTTTTCTGGCGTGAAGTATAAACAGACTCTATGTATTAGTGTGTTGGTCGCGCACTCGATTCTCCTTTCAAGTGTCCCAGGTTCGACTCCCAACGACGTCATTTTGTTTTTAGCCTTTTCGGTTGCTGCTAATGGGGTCAATATTGTAGTATAAAACACTTCTCTACTATTTCGTCCCACACCGGAGACAATAAGAGGTTTGCTTCTCAAACACTTCTATATAACAAAGGACCTAATGCAGTTTAATATTGTGACTAGGAAGTCACGTTATACGGATATTTCGTATTTTGGTTGCTGCTAATGGGTCAATATTGTAGTATAAAAATTTGTTGGGCTTATTGGGCTCTCTATTTCGGTATTTCGGTTCCCAAATAAACCGAACCGATTTTTCGGTTCCCAAAAACCCGGTTCAGGTCCCAAACCGAACCCAGCCCTAATTAATTCTGAGGTAGTGTCGGATCCAAGATGCCGGCAGCCGGTAACCCCTACCATCACCAACAGTTGGTGGCGGTGATGATGAACCAGCAGAGGGCCAACGGGAATGAGAGGTTCCAGGCTTCCGGCCAGCACATGACGTATGCCCAGCTGCCACCTGCTCTGGTTTTGTGACTTTCGATCACACTTTTCAATACTAGCACCTTATGTTCTTTTATCCTTGTTTTCAATTATAGTACGTACTCCCTCCGTCCCTTAAAACTTTGACAACTTTCTTTTTTTGGATGTTCCACTAACTTTGCCACTATTCCTGCTTTATAAATAAAATTGACATCCAAAGAACAAGATAACAGAGTATCAGAAAATTAAAAAGGATGAGGATGAGGAGGAGAAGGAGGAGGAGGAGAAGGGGAAGGGGAAGAATACATACCCGACTTGACTGGAGAAATTGAAATCCAAAGAACAAGAATACATATTATAATTATTATTATAATGATTATTATTATTGTGATTATTATCATTATCATGATCATCATCATGATCATCGTCATCATCATGATCATCATCATCATCAGCATCATAATTATTATTATTTTAGAATAAAATTTTGATTTGGCAAAGATCTAAGGGACATAGTTCTCATAATAATAGTAATAATAGTAATAAAAGTAATACTACATCCATCCCCTTAATATTGGGACGAAAGAGAGTGGTGTGATTTTTAAGAAAAGTAGAATTATGTGGTTGATAGTGAGTTGGTAAAATGAGAATAAAGTAAGAATGAATTAGAGTCACACAAATGTTACCAGATATGGTATGAGACAATAATATGGGACATCCAAAAATGAAAAAATGAGACAATTATAGGGGGACAGAGGGAGTAACTCATATTTTATTTGCATGCATGAACTTTTCTGATATGATTTAAATATTTCTGATCTGATTTGAATGTTTTGGATCTATTTTTATGATTTGATCTGGATCTTTCAGATCTGATCTGAATCTTTTTTATTTGATTGATTTTGTTTTGATATTATATGCTTCGATTGAATTTTTTAATTCTATTTGTTTTTATTTAAATGAAATAAGAATAACCGATAACAAATACTCCCTATATTCCATTTTGGTTGTCTTACTTTTCTTCTTAGGTTGTCCCAAAATGAATGTCAAGTTTCCTGTTTTTGTAAGGAATATTTGATCCATAATATTTTATTGTATTTATTTTACTCAAATCTCAATCAAAACTTTTATTTTTTCATGAATAATTGCGTCAAACAACAATTGATATAGATGGAGGAAGTTTGAATTAAGATTAAGAGCCCATTTGGTAGCTTGCAAATTAGTTGGTTTGTCTGATTCTGCTGAAATTTATTAAGTTCTGGTTGAATTGACTGCATTGGCTAATTCTGCTGATTTAAGAAAAAAATATTTTTTAAATATATTTTATTAATAAAATAAAGAAAAAATTATATGTAAAAATAGCTAAAATGATCATCTACAGTAACTTCAACCAATACAGCCAGAAAAGTAACTCCAACCTTACTTTTTCTGCTTACTACACAATTCAGCCGCGAAAGCAAAAGTTACGTGTTCAGTGAAAAAATTGACTGATAAACCTGATAAGCCGAAAAAAAGTGAACGGGGACTTCTCCTAAGTCTTCCAGGTGATTGTCCTCCATTCACATGCACTAGGAACCCCTGTTTTTTGTGATGATCGAATTGCGTGATTGTCCATTTACACTTTAATGATGGTCGTGCATGATGCATATGGATCATGAAGATATTTTCTGCAAATTTAACGGTGCGGGCCAGCGACGTACTGTATACTTCTCCTGTGCATCATTGTCCTTTAAAGTAACGGGCAATCCTCAATAAAACTACGGAGTAGTTTTTAACCGTAGCTTAGAACTATTAGACCATTTGGAGCGGAGAGATTTTAACTTTTAAGAGCAAAAAGTTAAAAATGAAACATTTAAACTCATAAATGTATGTAGTGGAGGATTAAGAGAGGTGTTAGAAATGAGTAAGTGTTATAAGATGGAAGGAAATAAGCAGAAGATCAGGGAGAGAAAATATAGTATGAACGCTTAGTGATAGAGATGTATTAGAGATGTTCTAATGGTGTCTTTACAATGAAGGAGAATACTCCTATTTATAGGGGAAAATATAATCTTGTCTAGATTAGGGGCTAATTATGATTTCTTATTTATATTAACAATGATGATAATGTGTTCCTAATCATGAATAGTTAGAAGATGACTAATTCAACTTTATTTCAACACCCCCCCTTGAATGATAATCTTCTAATTATTCTGGGGTATTAGTATCATAGTATTATAATGTACTGTCTCGTTAAAAATCATTGTCAGGAAAAACTCAGTGGGATAAATACCCGACAAAGGAAAAAGAGTGCAGTGCATTATATTACTCCCCCTCAATTTAACATATATCACGAAGACGACACATTCCAATTTTGTGGACCAGTTCTTCAAATTTCTTCGGTGCCAATGACTTTGTGAATAAATCAGCAGGGTTGTCGCAGGACTTGATTTGTTTGACATCAACTGTTCCTTCTTTCTCAAGATCATGTGTGAAAAAAAGTTTTGGTGTTATATGCTTTGTTCTATCCCCTTTGATGTAACCTCATTTGATCTGAACTATACATGCGGTGTTATCTTCATAAATCACAGCAGGATTACAAGTAAAAGATTTCATACTGCATTCATTTTGTATGCGCTGGATCATTGATCTCAACCAGATACATTCTCGACCTGCTTCATAAAGAGCAATTAATTCTGCATAATTTGATGATGTGGCAGTTAATGTTTGCTTCATCGATCTCCATGAGATAGCGGTATCACCATAGGTGAATACATATCATGTTTGTGATTTTTCCTTTTGTGGATCAGACAAGTATCCTGCATCGGCATAGCCAATTAAAGTGGCATTTGCACCATTCTTGAAATGCAATCCAAGGTCGATTGTACCATTGAGATAGCGGAATATATGTTTGACGCCATTCCAATGTCTTCTTGTCGGAGAAGAACTGTGCCTGGCTAATAAATTTACAGAAAAAGCAATATCTGGTCGTGTATTATTAGCCAAATACATTAACGCTCCAATAGCACTCAAATATGGTATTTCGGGACCAAGGATTTCTTCATCATCTTCACAAGGTCGAAAAGGATCATCATGCACATTGAGAGATCGAACCACCATCGAGGAATTAAGTGGGTGAGCTTTTTCCATGTAAAACCGCTTCAAAAGTTTCTCGGTATAATTTGATTGGTGGATAAAAATACCATTTCTCAAATGTTCAATTTGAATGCCGAGACAAAATTTTGTTCTCCCAAGGTCTTTCATTTCAAATTCTTTCATGAGATATTTAGCAGTATTTTCAATTTCATTGGGAGTTCCGATTATATTCAAATCATCAACATATACTGCAATTATGGCGAATCCTGATTCAGATCGCTGAATGAAAACACATGGACTGATAGGATCATTTTTGTATCCTTCTTTGATCAAATATTCACTTAGACGGTTATACCACATGCGTCCAGATTGTTTTAATCCATATAATGACTTTTGCAATTTTATGGAAAATAAATCTCGAGATTTCGAGCTATAAGCATCAGGTATTTTAAAGCCTCCAGGAATTCTCATATATATGTCTGTATCGAGTGAACCATATAAATATGCGGTCACTACATTCATTAGTCGCATTTGTAGCCTTTCAAAAACAGACATGCCAATTAAAAATCGTAAAGTAGTAGCATCAACTACTGGAGAATACGTCTCATCATAATCGATTCCTGGCATTTGAGAAAAACCTTGGGCAACAAGTCGGGCTTTATATCTAATGATTTCATTTTTCTCATTGCGTTTACGGACAAACACCCATTTAAAACCTACAGGTTTTACGCCTTTTGGCGTGTGGACAATTGGTCCAAAAACATTACGCTTTTCTAGCGATTTTAGTTCTACCTGAATCGCTTCATTCCATTTTGGCCAATCGTTTCTACGACGACATTCGTCAATAGATTTTGGCTCATTGTCATCGTGTTCATTCATTATATCTGTGGCGATGGCATATGAAAATATATCATTAACATCAATATCTTTTCTATTCCATTGTAGTCCATTAGAAACGTAATTGATTGAAATTTCGAAATTATCGACATTTCTATCTTTATCTGGAATATTTACCTCTTCAAAGGTGATTGGATCCTCTTTTGAGGTATCATTATTATTGATGTTATCTTCAAAGCCGATATTTTCAAAATGTTCATTTTCTTCTTGAGAAGTTTGAACTTCTTTGGCATCACAAACTACGTCTTGCTTTTTAAATTTTCTTGGTTTCAAATCTTTTGAACCAAGTGGTCTACCACATTTTTTACGTATCATAGATTCATTAGCAAGAGTTCTTTCGCTAATCTCCGCAGGAATTTCTATTCGAGAAGGAGTATTCATAGCTGGAATATGTGACTTTGTCACTTTCTTTGAGTCTGTGAAAGCATCAGGCATTTGGTTTGCAACACTTTGTAAATGAATGATCTTTTGAATTTCTTGTTCACAAGCATTTGTGCGAGAATCAAGAAAAGATAAATCTGTGGTATTCCAAGTAATATCTTTCGTGCGTGGGTCCATTTCTTTATTATCTCCACCTAAGGCTGGGAATATTGTTTCATCAAAATGATAGTCATCGAACCGTGCGGTGAATAAGTCACCAGTCATAGGTTCTAGATAATTAATAATGGAGGGAGATTTAAAACCAACATAAATTCTTAGCCTTCTTTGAGGACCCATTTTAGTACGATAAGGTGGAGCAATCGGTACATACACAGAACAACCAAATATTTTTATGTGTGATATATTTGGTTCTTTACCAGATATTAATTGAAATGGGAAAAATATATGATATGCAGTTGGCCTGAGCCGAATTAAATTTGCAGCATGCATTATAGCATATCCCCATGCAGATGATGGTAATATGGATTTCATCAATAATGTTCTAGCAATTAATTGTAATCGCTTAATTAAGGATTCAGCAAGACCATTTTGTGTATGGACATGTGGAACTAGATGTTCCACATCAATCCCAATTGACATGCAATAGTCATTAAAAGATTGGGATGTAAATTCCCCTGCATTATCAAGTCGGATTTTCTTTATTGAAGAATCAGGAAATTGTGATCTCAAACGAATAATTTGAGCAAGGAGATTTGCAAATGCAAAATTTCTAGTTGATAAAAGATTGACGTGTGACCAACGTGTTGATGCATCAATGAGCACCATAAAGTATCGAAAGGGTCCACACGGAGGAGCAATTGGCCCACAAATATCTCCTTGAATTCTTTCTAAAAATGCAGGAGATTCAACTCCAATTTTGTATAAAGATGGCGTGATAATTAATTTGCCAAGAGAACAGGCAGTGCATGAGAAATCACTTGATTGTGGATTTTTGACATTATTTAATGCATGTCCAAGTGAATTTTGAATAATTTTGTGCATCATAGTGCTGCCTCGATGACCTAAACGGTCATGCCACAAGATAAAGGAATTGTGGTCATTAATTTTAGATACCACATTTATCTCAATTGGACTGATATATGTATAATATAATCCGGAGGAATATGCTGGCATTTTTTCTGAAATGTATTTATTGCCAGATCTATTTGTCGTTAGACATAAATATTCCTTTTGATTTTCAGACATGGTTTCAATGTGAAAACCATTTAGACGCATATCTTTGAAACTCAAAAGATTTCTCCGTGATTTACTGAAGTACAAAGCGTTTTTAATTATTAATTTTGTCCCTTTTGGGAGAATTGCACAGGCTATTCCAGAACCTTCAATGAGTTTAGCAACACCTGAGATTGTATTGACATTAGCATCTACTAATGTCATATGAGAAAAATAATCTCTATGTCACAAAATGGTGTGCGTTGTGGCACTGTCTATTAAACATTGTTCAAAGCCATTTTGAGAAATTTCGGTTAACTCCATATCTTTAAAAAGATAAAAATGAACAAATATTAGTTCAATATTGCAATATAAACAAGAATTTATTCATTAAAATGTACATAACTTTTACAACCGAAACAAGCACACCAAATAAAAATTACAATACAACAAACTTTTATTGTAGAATATATTACATAACAGAATAATTTCATTTTTATTATTATTATTTTTCACCAATGACGATGTCAGTGTTCATCTCATTATTATCCATATAGAAATCAAACATATTAAATGTGGGCATTGGTGGAACGTTTTCGTTGACGTAATTAGTTTCCACATTCTTTCCTTTTAGAGATGATTTATATAAGTCAACCAAATGTGTAGGTGTGCGACACTTATTTGCCCAATGTCCCGACGTGCCACATTTAAAACAAGTGACTTTGGCCTTTTTCTGAAGATTTCGTCAGGCCTCTTGTTTGATGGGGGTTTTACTTTCCCTTGCCTTTGTAAAATGGCTACTACTATGTTTGTTTCCCCGACTAGGTCCATTATAACGATCAATACCACGACCACGTTTGAAATGTCCACGAGCACCACTATGGGTTGCATTTGATTCATGTTTCGAACCATGATTTTGTGGACCAAAACTAAAAGTGCTACAACCCGTGGGTCTCATATTGTGGTTTCTCATCAAAATGTCATTATTCGTCTCAGCAAGTAGTAATACTGATATTAAATCAGAATACTTTTGAAAGTGCTTTTGTCTATATTGCTCTTGTAAAAGCATATTTGAAAGATGCATAGTGGACAGGGTTTTTCCAACATTTCAGCATCAGTGACTTTTTGTCCACATAACTTCAGTTTTGATATTGTTTGGAACAAGGCAGAATTGTAGTCACTTATTGATTTGTAATCCTGGAATCGTAAATTGATCGAGTCATATTGAGCTTTTGGTAAAAGGACCTTTTTTTGATGGTCATACCTTTCTTGGAGATTATCCCATAATTCTTTAGGGTCATCTACCAATGAATACTCAGATTTCAAACTTTCGTGAAGATGGTGACGAAGAAAAATAATGGCTTTTGCCTTATTTTGGGAAGTGGCTGAATTATTTTCAGCAATTGTGTTTTCAAGGCCATTTGCTTTTAAATGTGCCAAAGTGTCGACTTTCCATTCCAAATACTTTTGACCAGATAGATCAAGGACGTCGAACTCTCTTTTGCTAATATTAGCCATGGATGAACTGCTGGGAAGATGATGATTTCCGGGATTTGGAGCAAATTCGTGCTGATAACGTGTTATAAGATGGAAGAAAATAAACAGAAGATTAGGGAGAGAAATTAGAGTATGAACCCTTAGTGATAGAGGTGTATTAGAGATGTTCTAATGGTGTCTTTACAATGAAGGAGAATACTCCTATTTATAGAGGAAACTATAATCTTGTCTAGATTAGGGGCTAATTGTGAGCCATACAATTACCATCTAGAAATCATAATTATGATTTTTTATTTATATTAACAATGATGATAATGTGTTCCTAATCATGAATAGTTAGAAGATGACTAATTCAACTTTATTTCAACAGTAAGAGGGTTGAGGTGTTATTAATAGAGGGTGAATTGACTCCTAAATGATGATGTCATCTAAATGTCATTAACCTCAAATTTTTAAAACTCTTATAACTTTCTTATTTGTATTCCATTTTTTTTCAAATAATATATCAAAATTCTTGAATTTTCATGATCTTTCACATGACACCAATATGTAAGATATAAAATGAAAAAGTATGAAGTTTAACTGTTCAAAAGTTTTCTTGAAGCCAAAAAACACGAAACACAAATTTTTAATTCATGGAGCCTACAAATAACTGAATATTTCATAATCAAACTTTACTTGAACTAAGTTCATTTTTGTTAATCGAAAAACGTTAAGAAAAATAAATGAAACTTATTTATTTTTACATCAAAATGTGTATTTTTTATTTTATAATTATTTAGGGAAAAAATTAAAGGGAAATGATTACTTATAATAATTTAATTAAAGTTTAACTAAATTGATACACACACACACACACACACACACACACACACACACACACAAATGTTCAGGTCCGGAATTCCGGACCAGAACCACCGTCCGGCCGACGGCTTTTGGGGCTCTTCCCGGTGGCTTTTTTTGATGAAATTTTAATGGCATGTTCTTCATCTAGTCTAACTTATCTACTAAAAATTTTAGCTAAAAACTCAATCCGGAAGGTCATCAAATGAACTTCGGAAGTTAACTGCGTTTTATATGTACTCTCTCCGGTTCTGAAAGATCTTTATACTTTCCATTTTTATCAGTACCACAATTATCTTTACACTTCCTTATTTGTCTTATTTGGCAAATAAATCTACACAAAACAGTGTCAAACAATGCTAAACAGTGTCAAACAGTGCCAAACAGTGTACTCTACAATAAGGTCAAATTTATTTCCTTAAAAACCGTGAAGTCAAAGTGTCAAGATCTTTTGGAACCGGAGGGAGTATTTATTTGCGCAGTTAACTTCAAAAAATCATTTGACAACCTTCCTTATTGATTTTTTAGCTGAATTCTTTTGTGGTAAACTAGACTTGATGAAGAACATGCCATAAAAATTTCATCAAAAAAAGCCACTGGAAAGGGCCCCAAAAGCCGTCGGCCGGACGGCGGTTCCGGTTAGGAAGGCCTGACCAGAACACTACAATATATATATATAT